CAGTGTTCTTTTCCCTGGTTTTACTGTGATCCAATCCCTGGGCTGTGCCCAGAATCCCACCTCACAGGTTGTCACCAGCTGAAATTCAGAGACAAACACAGATCTACCCAGCAAAGCTGGGTCACACCCTGTGATTTCTCCCTTTTCAGAGGAGGTGCCACACAAGATCTCAGGATACAGCAACAGGCAGGGAAGGGCTCGGGGCTGTCCAGCACTTCCAACCAGGCTCACAAGGGGATCAGAGAGATGGGAATTGGTTTCTCTGGGAAGAAACCAGGACTGGAAGGGTGCATTAGGGTCAGGGTCATTCTGATATCCTGGGATAAACCCTGACACCATGGCCTGATCTGAAGGATCTGAAGAGCTTTCCCTGTGCTCCATGGAGCTGCTTGCTGGGAAGCCAGAGCACTTCCAGAGCTGTGTGTCCATCAGCTCACATCCCGAGGGAAGGTGCAGATACCTCGTTGCTTTTACAGAGCGTTTATTGAGCGTGCAGGATCCACTCCAAACCCCATCCCAAGGGTGCAACTTCCACAGGGGCTCCACAGCAGTATCCTGCTCGCAGGCTGTGTGGCAGCATGCAGAGGGAAAAGGGAGTACAGCATGCATGGCAAGGGGAGAACTCCCCCAAAATGACAGGAGTGTAGCCATTAATAAATGTAACATGGAATATTACAGAGATCCAAGTGTGACTGAAGGAAGTCTCTCTTTGGTGGAGTTTGCTAACAGAGAGAAAACCCCAGACAAACAATGAATATCCTTATTCCATCCTCAAATTTAGATCTCAAGGCTGGAGGCTGACTGACACCCCTGACAGCATCCCCAAGGGTGCTGACGACTGTGCAGGAGTGCTGGAGGCTGAAATGGGACTGACCCTGAGGCACAGATCCGTGCTGTGCTGGACCTGCCGTCCCTAGGACGGAGATAAGGACATGTGGGACAGGGATAAAGCCTGGCTGCCAGCACAGCTGTGTCCCAGTGTGGATCCAGTGGGCCATATGGAGTTAGTTACACACACCAGGGCTGTGCTGATGCTCTTCCCCCTTCCCAGACCATTTTCCAGCACATGGAGAACCTCTGATTACAAACACAGAACTGACCTGGGCACTCAGCACTCCAAGGGATCCCAATGGAAGGAGCAGAGTGCCCCTGCTCTGCTTTGTCACATCATTAAACACAGAGTAAAAAGGGCAATTCCACGTGACTGAAATGCCCCACAGACCTTCCCGAACACCCCCACATCCAGCCAGTGTATTCCAATCACATCCTTTGGAACAAACCTGCACTGTAATCCCAGATGGATTTCAGCTCTTAGAGACCTCCGTCCCCACAGGCCACCCCAGTGGAACAGGCTCAGTGGCGGCTGTCACACAAAACATGGGCTCAGTGACCCCCGAACCATGGGCTCAGTGACCCAGGGAATGCCCTGAATCCATAGGTCCAACAGAGATCCTGCACGGGGTCAGGCTGAGTCCAGGAGTCCCAGGAGAGCGCCGACAGAGCCAAAGTAACCCTGAGGAGCAGATGGGAACAGGCAGTGAAAATCCACGGGCACACACCTGACACAGGAACAGCATCCTCAGAATCAAGGAATAGCTGGGCTTGGAAGGATCCATAAAGCACATCCAGTGCCTCCCCCTAGTTCCCACTATCCCAGGCTGCTCCAAACCCTGTCCAACCTGGCCTTGGACACTTGCAGGGATCCAGGGGCAGCCACAGCTTCTCTGGGAAATCCATTCCAGGGCCTCAATACCCTCAAAGGGAAAAAATTCCTTCCCAATATCCCACCTTCCCTGCTCTCTGGCAGTGGGAAGGCATTCTCCCTTGTCTGTCACTCCAGGCCCTTGGCCCAAGTCTCTCTTGGGAGCTCTACTGGAACTCCTTTAGGCACTGGAAAGTCTCCCTGGAGCCTTCCTTTCTCCAGGCTATTGAATACAGAGTGTAATTTTAACAACATATAAAGGAGAGGGGAAAGATACAACTACAGGGAAGTACATTATAAAACAAAATATATAATAAAATATAGCTGTGGCTGGAGCAGCAACGCCCTGAGCACCTCCTGCACTGTGTGCACCCAACAGCTCCAAATGGCTGTTTCCAGAGCACTCCAAGGACCTGCATTTTGGAAAAAGGAATTTTACCTCATGTTCCAAGAAAAGTGCTTTTAATTGTCCCTTTGACCAGTAGTCCAGGGCATAGGCCAGGAGCCTCATGGAGATGGTGTTGATCCGAAGGAAGTTGCCCACAAACACCACACGGTTGATGTTCTGCAAGTGTTAAGGGGGGAAAAAAGGAATATCATGGATAAATTCTATTTTCTGCTTCCAATGATGAAAACCCCATGTGTGGAAGGGTCTGGAGCCCCAGGAGGGGCTGAGGGAGCTGGGCAAGGAGCTCAGCCTGGAGAAAAGGAGGCTCAGGGGGCAGGCTGAGTCCCCATCCCAGGAGGGATTTAAAAGCCATGTGGATGTGGCACTTGGGGACATGGTCAGTGTTGGCCTTGGCAGTGCTGGGGAATGGTTGGACTGGATGATCTTAAAGGACTTCTCCAACCTAAATGGCTCTGAAACTCTATGAATTAAGTTCCTGCTGAAAGTGCCTGGCAGAATGTGCAGAACACCACACACAATTCCATCACAAAGCAGAACCAGGCCATTTTAAGCCACCCTCTTCCTCAGACTCTCCCAGAAATTCCCAGGCCAAACTACAGCCTCTCTAACCCAGGAATTTGGATAGAACAGCTGATTTTCC